CCATATTCGCGGTCGGGGAATCCAAAAAGCAAACGTCGATTGAATGAAAGCCGCGGATTGAAAAAAAGGGGGGAAAAAAAAAGAAAAAGAAGATAGTAACGCGCGGGGCGAGAGATGATTTGTGGTTTCGACGGCGCACGAATGTCTTTGGAATTGCGATTAGACGTAATGTGGAAGTTTCGCAGCGCGCGGAGCCTCTGCGCGGTGGCGTCAAGACCTAGGTACTTTCCGTTGGATCCGGCGGGCTGCACGTCGTCGCAGCCAGTAAACCTTGCGAAATTTCTAGGGAATTCCCCATCGGGAAAATTAGGTGGGTAGATCGGCGCATGAAGGAGCGGGCTGGCTTCGGGTGAGTTAAAGCTCCGAGTATCGATCCTTTCGAAAATGGCGAGGTCGCCCGTACTCGTGGCAAGCCGTCGATATTCAACGAGACGAAAAACGATACCGGCTCTGACAGCCGGCGAATCCATCTGAGCCAGTGGTTCTCAAGCTATGCGCCGGCCCGAAAATTGTCCACTTTCGAAAATTGCCGCCGGCTTTGGCCGGAAGGAAACAAAACGAGAGCGGGAGATCTCAATATCAATCGATATTTTCATTAGTCCCCGCGAAAGTGGGCCGCCCCGGAATTCGCGACAGGGAAATTTCATTTGGCGCCAACGGAAACACCGCGGAGGTGTCGCCACCGCGGCGCCGCCGCGAACTATCGGCCGCGACGCCCGCCTCGAGATGAACACTGCGCATATAGAAAATCCAGGGATATTTTTCCACCCTTCCTTCATTTATTTCAGAAGAAACACTTGTCGAAGTGCGACGATGGAGGTTCTTTTGACATTTTTCTTCTTTTTTTTTTTGGCCGAAAGGAATCGAGCGAAGGAGGGGCCCGTTTGGTCGTGGATTTGCATTTTCCGAAAGCTGATAGCCAGACCTCAAGTATGGAATCCCTCGGTTTAGGGGTTCCCGAGGGGAATTACCGCTGACCCAGAATACTTGAAAGTTCCCTTACACCCTTCCCGTTTTGGCTTTGGTCCCTCTTGCAGGAGAATCAACCCTAAGCCCGAAATCGCTTCCGGCGAAAGCGTATCACCTTTTGCGCAGGGCCCTCTTCCAGTATACGGGGGTGATTATGCTCCAGTGACGGCAAAGTGCCGAGTAAAGACCGGGTTCCTGAGGCGGTAGAAGACCGGAAGCTCGCTCCAAGATGGCAGCCGGGGGCAGAAAACGGTTTTCGAGGTATTTCGAGCCCGAAGTCCGTCACCGAATTCGACAGATTCCACCCTAAATACGTGGAAATACCCCGCGCTGAAATGTGGCCGTTCGACGTCTCATTAATAAATTATGAATAAAAAGGGGATCCGTCCGTTAGTGCACGTGTTAGTAAATAATAAATCAGCGGAAGATAAACTGCACTTGGAGACTGTACTTTAGTCAAGAGATTATACTTTAGTAAAGCTAAAGTGGCTGTTACTGGAGAGGGTGAAAGACCAAGAGCGTCCTTCAAGATGGCGGACACCACGAAGAACTATTTTCGAGATATCTAAAGCGTCATAATCGATAAAGAATGTGCGCTCGAAGTATAAATGAAAACCTAAAATTATTTTATTTACCGTGAGAACTATCGTCTTAAATTCGATAGGGTTGGGAAGAAATGGTCAAAGGTGACTTCATTCGACGAGATAGATCAAATGGAAAAAGTGACGATCGAATCGACTTTTCTAGACACTTAATCCTTGAAAGAGTACAATGATGGACTCCCTTCTATATCCAGAAGGGAGTGATTATGTTTCTGCGGCAAAGTGCGGAGTAAAGAGCGGAGTTTCCGAAGAGGTGGAAGACCGGAACCTGTTTCCAAGATGGCGGCTAAGTGTGGAAAATAGGTTCCGAGATATTTAGAGTCGAACTTGTTCTGGGTCGGCGAATTTCGACGTTTCCCTTTTGACAGTTTCCGCTAACCTGGAATTTAGTCCACCTTTAGCTTGACTACAGTTAAATTATTATTTTCTGTATGGATAATTAGAAATGTGGAAAATAGGAATAGATATTCAGTAGTAACGTAAAAACGTAATTATCAAACAGAAACTCGATTTCGCGGAAACGGATGGTTATGTAGAAGGGAGGCAGCGTTTTCAATAAAGGACGAATTCCGGAACTGTTGCAAGACCGGAAGTTGGAGGCAATATGATGGCGAGAGGGCGAAAAGAATCTCGAAGTATTTGGACTTGAGATCCATCGGAGACCTCCAAAATTTAACCACGAAATTCCCACTTGACTAAAAAGAGAAGATTAAAGAAAGACAAGTTCACTTTATGACGTTCGGAAGTCCTTTAAACGGACATTTTTCGAACGGAAGAATTACGAGGAAGAAATTATTATTTCCAGTCGCAGCTTTTAAGAGAAGAGAATAAGTGACGACTTAGAAGGGTAATAGATATTACTTTTGTATTTCTTATTCCAGGCATGAATTAAAGATAAACCTGGCCTATCGGTCGTGCAAAGATCACCTGCCTTATCGTAGTCATCGACAGGCTGTAAAATTATTATTATCGCCGACTTCAAAAGAAATATGCGAGCCCGAGCCACCGTCGTAGGATGTCCTTTGATCAAATATTCAGAAAAGGAGAAACCGAGCTCCTGAGAGGGCTAGAACATAGAAAAGCGAAGAATGTTGGTCCTAGGGAGTTGAAGAAAGCCGGGGTGGAAGTGGGCGGAAAGAGGGCGAGCAGAGGGCGAAAAGTGGGTGGCGGGCGCCTCCCACTATGTACCGATAGTGCTCGTATTTCATCGGGATATGAAATTCCGAACTTTCGGAACTACTTTTTGACTCGCCGGATGATTTCTAACTCTCCGCGAGAGTATTTTTTCCCGGCTGGAACCCATATTTCCGTAACAAAGATCTTTTGAACCGTGGTACCTCCCTTTCCACGATACTGTCATGAGAACATCAACGGCATATATTTTCTTAAAAGCCCTTAAGTCAGGCAAATAGGAAACCTCGACGGACAGCGATATCCCATTCCGGGGTGAAAATTCGGAAAAGAGATGGTTTCCGCCCTCCCCCGATATAGGGGGATGGCCTTGGCCGTATCGCAGTCGGCCGTTGGCCGTAAAATCGCGTTATTATCGCTGGCTCCAGGGGAAAGACCCACCCCCGTGGAATGTCCTTTGATCAGAAATTCAGAAACGGAGAAAACGAGCCAACGAGAGGGGTGGAACACAGAAATTAGGGGAAAGGTGGTCTTGGGGGGGCGAAGAAAGCCGTGGCTGGCTTTCCGCCCACCGCCACCCACCACCCACCGTTCCCACCGCCCACCGCATCCCTACATTGCCCGTATTTCGTCGGGGTACGAAATTCCCACCCTTTAAAACTAGTGAAAAGGAACCTCGCGTAAGGACCTAGGAGGCGACTAGGGGAAAAAGGAACAGGAGAAATCCCCTATCCCAGTAGTACTCGTCATACTTTGATCAGACCCGGTGGATTTACCCCTTCACCCAACCCTCAGAGCGCACCCCCTTTGAAGCGGGCACCGACGCACCCTCGGTATCCTAGCTCCGACGAAATGCCAGAAAAATGCGATCTCTGACAACGAATAGTTCCCTTTTATCATCCCCGGATGTTTCGCGCTCCGGAAATGGTGTATTCGGTGGCATTCCAAATTAATTCCGACCACTTTCCCCGTTTCCACTGCGACCGAACTCGAATATAAAACAGGGACATCCGAGGAATGGATCGCTGGAAGGGGAAGGGACATTCACCGGGAACAAAGAACCTAATCAAATAGGAGATAATTTTAGAAAATCGAAACCTCCTTTTCTGTTTGACAGTGTAACCCAGGATGTCCCGGATTTTAATTGTAGTTATTTCGATGTTCTGGAGAGACGTAGTTTCTGCATTGAATTATTCCACTGTTTTACCGTCTGGCCGGTTGATGCCGCTGAAAGGGCGGTATTCCAATTTAATTTTAATTATCTACTTCATTCATATTTCAATTAAATTCGAGCGTTAAACGCGGCGGGAAATTAAAAAACAAGGGGGATGAGAATGGACCGTAGATACAAAGGTAACAAGGGCAGCATCACTCGAGAATTTGTTCGACATTGTTTGAATTCACTCGAACAATTTTCGGAAGAGTTTTTGAGAAAGGCAGGAATTTAAAAAGAAACACAAGTTTTTAGTTATTGCAAATCATGAGCCCTGCGTAGAATAATTCCTTTTTTTCACTCCGTTCTTTTCTGATTTTCAAGTCTATCGAAAAAGTTACGAGAGCGTGAATCAAAAAGTTCCTTGAAAGATTCATATTTAATATCCGGGAAACTTTCTTGGGGAGTTCATATTTCGCGCCCACATTTACTCACCTCGAATTTCGAGGACATTTCCGGTCGTTTCGAAATATCTTCCCATAGTGAATGTTCCTAGGAAAGTCTTAAGTTATTAATGTCTATATATGAGTATGTATTTATTTCTGCGATATATAATGTTAATTCTCGGAGCAATAATTTCTGCGGTCCCATTGTTTCCTGGGAAATCGACGGGATTTAATATTCATCATTGGATCATAAGGATAGGTATTACATACTAAACGGAATCGAATGTAGCGTTCCAATTTCCACGAAATAACTACGCAATTCCCAGGCACGGTAATCGTTGAATAGGCATTTGATAAACAAAAACGATTATGGATTCCCGGTCGTGATCGATAAATTGGACACTTTGGGAAATTATTTCGGAATATAACTTCGCGTTTCGGGGCGAAGTTGTGACGTAACATGGGCGAGGCCCATTTAGTATTTAATATTTCATATTTAATAATGATCGTTTGATCACAAGTACATTAAATATTGAGCGTCCTGGTAGCCGCTTCGATAATGGCGGTTTAATCTTCCTAGAATAACTTCGCCCTCCGGTATGATAATGTTCCCTGGAACTTTGACGACAGAAAATCAGTTAATACGCATTTTTATCAAAAACTTTTTAACTTTAACCTGTTTTTTCTTCATTGTTTCAGATACAAGTCTACGGATTCAACGCGGACCTGTATCACAACATGAGTGAAGCGCAACATAAGAGCCAAGGACTAGTCGCCATTTCGCTGATGGTTCAGGCAAGTCATTATGTTTTAATAAAAACAATAATTTCCTACTATTTAAATTGAAAGCTAAAGAAAAAGCATATTAATCAGACAGGAAAAATTAGATATGAAATTCAGAACTTTACACCAAATTTTATACCTATACCTGTTCTACTCAATGCAAGAAGGAAACGAAACGCGGAGCGATTAATTATGTAAATGGTAAGAAAAACTATAGAAATCGCCATTGTGGGATTGAGATAAAATACGCAGGACTTAATGAAGAAGACGATTAATAAAGCCGGTAGATTGAATCCGAATCCGAGCCTGATGGAGACGAATCTAATCACGGCTATTAACAAGGGGTAAGATGGCCACGGGTGGGTCAAGGATATATCCGGGATCCCAGAGAGTCCTGGGCCGCGGACGGGAAGAGCACCTGGACCAGCAAGTAGCAGGGAAGCTGTGGATGTCGCATCTAGGTGGGGGCTGGTACCTCAGGGTTTAATCAGTCCTGGGAAGCGTCTAAATTGTCAATTATGTTGGCAGTTAAGGACCTCACCCGCCCCGCCATCTTGGTACCCAAGCACCGGCCTCGATCCTTGATGATCCTCGACGTCATCTCGAGTTTCAAACACCTAGAGTTCGTAACAATCGTTGACACTTCCGGCAGCTTCCAACGATAGTTGGGATTTCAAAGGGGCCCCTAAATTCTCCCAAAACTGGCACGCTTTCGCTTCCTTATGCCCGAAAAGTTTGACGACGTTACACGAGATGGATAGTTAATTTACGAGTGAATACCAAGTGCTGAAAATAGTTAAAAAAATAGTAAATATATGCTGAAATTTCCATCAAACTCGCCTTTTTTATCCCGACGATGTTTCCGGTCTCATCAGACAGTCTGAAATTCTTGGTCAGCGAGGAAGAAGTAACGCGACTCAAAATCCCTGGAAAGTACTTAAGGGGCTGTTTATATTCGAGTTCCCGAGGCGAGAAGACGCTTACAAGCGGATAGACGAAGTCGAATAAATCTCCGACGAGTCGGGAATAGGAGGATCGGCCGAAAGGGGAATTCAAGGGAGGCCGAGGAAAGAGGGAAAAGGCAACAGAGAAGAGCCGAGTGTCGAATATTTCTCAGATGAATATTCCGGGGGCCTCGGCGCCTGAGACAATTATTACGGAATAATTACTTCGGAAAAGCAGAAACCACCCCCGACAACTGCCGGATTTCCCACCCTGCCCTCCGGACCTGGAATACCCGAATAAATTCTCAACTTTCCCGAAGGAACCACCGCGTTCCCTCCTCTGGGATTCCTATCTTCAAATAGGGAACCGCGATTTTTGACGAGGACTAGTTTCAACAATAAGAAACATTTTACAAAATTAATGAGATAGATATTTCACTAGGGAGATCGTAAGATTTCTTTCAAACATTTATAATCAGGCTGAAATTGTGAATGTCGCGGTTAGCGGCTTTCTAAGAAGTCCAGGCAATTCTTCTTTAACGTTTGAAGCAAGGAGTCCGACCGTAGACTTCCAAGAATGTTGATAAACTTCACGAAGATCACGAAGCTCCATAAAGGAGCTTCTTAGGATGTTTCGGAAATTCCTTCAAGTCCCGGAGACGAAATATTGCATGACGAGAGAGGGTGTGCTTCTGTTTAGAAGTTGTTCCGTAATAAGAGCTCTAAGCAGAGTTTCTCTTCCGAGAATAGACGTCGAAATTCACGAGGAGATCCTCTCTTGGAATCTATTTAGAAGCCTCCAATTCGAAACTCGGGCTTACTAAATGAATAATTCACTTGTCGGCTTTATTTATTAACACTCGTGGCCATATAATTTCATATCACTCCTTTCGTTACCACTTCCTCGATTCTGTCCCATGATATAAGCACTGGAAAGGATATAGAATAAAACGTTCACTCCTCCGTCACCTTTTTAACCCTTCCCCGCGGCTTAAAACGTCTTCTGAAGGACCTGAGAAATATTCAAAGTCTCGAGGTGGACTTTCAGCGGTCGGCCATCTTTGGTCAACCCACGTGACCCGTCCGACGTGTCCCAGTCTCTCTCGGGCATAATCTCTGTCGCTAGGAAAGAAAAAAGTGTGATACGGATGTCACTAAAGTGTTTGTTCGCTATGCAGCAATGTAAGTGATACTCGATCTCTGGACCAACGGATTGGATGCAAGAGTTGCGACTCTAATCCAAACACATTATGCCCTGGGGTCTGGCAGGGAGAGATACTAAATGAGCGAGTACTCCCATTGGTGCATCGTTTCCCCTGGATCCGATCTATCTCGGCCATAGAAACTTTTTCGATTCCCCCGAGCAGCCAATCCTCGTATGGTTAACGCGTACCGATTTCGGAATTCACAAATCCCCCAGAACCGCTTAATCTAATTTAAACGTATAAAATATGCGTAATTAATCGCATTTTACAACGAAAAAAAAAAAAAAGAAAAAGTTCATATTAATTTCTACGTTCATTCGTTTCGACTAAATTTCCTCGGGTCTCGAATTACCGTTTGATCGTTTGGAAAGAATAAAATCCTGTGAAGTGTCGAACTCTTTGAGGTTATGTGAATACGGCATGGGTTAGTACAATCGATATAGATGCGCGTCTTATGACGAGAGCCTTTTTATTGGCTCTCTCGAGACGCACGAATTTCCCCCATCGAGACGGCCCCATTGGCCGGGTTACTTTACTATTACCGCATTGTTTATTAATGCTGCATTATGACGTGGTTATTATCTTTTACGATGGGACATTACCGAAGATGGCGCGGAACTTCGAAACGTCTTAGCGATTTTGCCCCTTTTACACCCAGCACTTAGGCGTTCAACGGAGGGCCTCCTAAAGTGGCAGGAAATCGAGGAAAACCGAAATTTCGGGATTGAATGACGACATATCTCATGACTCACAAGGAAGGTATCCCAGGCCGATCTCTCCGATTTGATATCTTTTATAATATGTTATAGTAGACTAAAAACTAAGTGACACGTATTTTTTTTTATCTGCCAAACACTTTAAGGGGGTGAAACCACCCTCTACAGTAAGACATGTCAAGAGGCGATTTGGCAGTTTCATCCACAAGAACATTTTTCAGAATATTTTTCTAACCAATCCACCTGGAAAAGCTTTCTCATAACGAGAAATGAAAAATATAATTTTCTCAATTAAAAAAAAAGAAATGAAGGGGTGAGCCACCCCTCACAGNTCCACAAGAACATTTTTCAGAATATTTTTCTAACCAATCCACCTGGAAAAGCTTTCTCATAACGAGAAATGAAAAATATAATTTTTTCAATTAAAAAAAAAATTAAGGGATGAGCCACCCCTCACAGACTTTACTTTGGATCGTGGTTTCATCCCCTTAAAGTGTTTAATGGCAGATAATAAAAATACGCGTCGCTTAGTTTTTAGTCTACTATAACATATTATAAAAGAAATGAAATCGGAGAGATCGACCCGGGATACCTTCCTTGTCAGTCCTTCGAAAGCAAAGACATAAAGTATTCACGTAGATCGTATCTTTTGTTGCAGTTGGGTGACACGCCAAATCCAGAACTTCGAATAATCACCAGCGCGTTCAACAAGGTAGCCTATCGAGGTGAGTAGACGGAAGCTGTTCATTATCTCTTTTATCAGGAGGAAAAGTAAATCGGGAAAATCAGAGACCACCCCTCTTTCCTAGAGCTCTCGAACGATCGGTAAAATTTGTCCCCGGATATCTGAAAAGTGAAATAGCGAAAAACCAGTCACCTCGTTAAATTCGCGCGGCGCACTCGAGGGTGCGCGAGGCTTCGGTATTTTTGAGAAATTCGATTCGAAAAGGGGGACGTTTCGAGTGGCGGGTCTCGCGAGCATTTGACGCGCTGGGAGTCTAATTGAGATCTAATTTTCGAAAATGCGGAATCCCTCCCCGGGGAGTGACTCGCGGCGACATCCATGGGGGTTGAAAGGGGCCTCTGGTAGCAATTAGTAGCGACCTCACGGAGCTCGCCGAGGGGTGGAAACCGCCCCTAACGGCGCATTAGATGAATACGAGGTACACGCACCAAATATCTCGTGGAGGCTTCCCACCGCGGCGGGAAGTGTCAACGAGGGGTGGATAATAAATAAAACGCCATGTGAAAAATAACCCCGGCGTATCCGCCCCCGGGAGAGGGTTGAAGAAAATGCTTTTTTAAGGTAACGAGTCGCCTCTGTCTCTATACCGAGAGCCACCCCTCGACCCCTGCGCGACGTGATTCGATTTTCTCTCGACGTATCTGGGAATGGGAAAAACGTGGGAAAAAAGAATCAGCGGGGGTAGAGGGCGGCTCGAAGCCACTCGTTACAATCTTCTGAAAAGGTGCCTCTCGATTTTTTATCGCGTTTCTCTTATTTCCTTAGTCAATGCACCCCGTGCCCCGAGCACTTTGCGGGGACGAACGGTTTTTGAGGGCCGCTAATGAAACGCTTTCATCGCCGCGAAAATCTCGTTACGAATCGACCCGGACTTGTGACGGGGAATGTCTAAGTCCGTCAAGTCGGGAATTAATGGTAAAGAAGATATACCTTTTAAGTAGCGGCCCTGCAACCGAGATAGAGGGACCTCGGGATAAATCAACTCAAAGACGCGGGGACGCCATCTTTGTTCTTCCTGGTTCTTTGAAAACTCCCTACAACTGAATTCAAGGTGTACGGACCTAAAGTAAATATAAACCGCGAGGAAAGTCGACAGGTTTCGTTCCCCTTGTTTCGATATTTCTGCCTCCATTTTCGACAGAGAGCATCCAACTTCGGTGTGATCATTCTGGGAAAGTAATGAAGCGGAAGTTAAATTATTTTCGTGTGTTTATGATACTTATCGTAATTTCATTGGATTTTTGTGATATTATTTTGACAAGTAGTCCTCCCTTGGCAGCGTCCTGGGAAGGACTGAAGTAAACTGGGAATCCCAGCAGGGAATTCTGACATCTCGCGGCCTCGTCTGGAGTTTACCGGAAGTTGTCGGGACGCGGCTGGATCGCGCAATAAAATACAATTCCAGGGTGTCGGTTTAATACTCCGCATACCTCGGGAATATTTCACCTATTATCTACGTTTTCCTAGGTACACGCCGCGTTTTCGGAATGGAGCATATCCGGCCAGAGATTTCCACCGGATCACGGGTAGGACCTCTTTCGCGAAGCGTTTGCCGACCTTCAATTATTCCTATATTAGTTCGGCGGATTTCTGTTTGTCGAAGGACTTAAAATGACAGAACCACTCGGAAACCCGTGATATCCGTTCCTCCCCTGTTTCCGAAATTTCGGGCGATTCGCTCTCGAAAATCTCGCTCGATTTCTCTCCCTTCGGCTGGAAAGCGCGAAATCAAAGCCAGTGGAATTGTTATTATTTCTGGATATTAGTAGATCCATTTCGCTCAACTGCATCTTACTACTGTGGGAATTTCGGCCGAGTATCCTTTCGGAATGTCAGAAACTACGAATTATTCGAACATCGTCGAGCTATAAGCAAACACTAGCCAACTGTTAATTTTGCATGAATATTTCCTTTTCCCAGTATTCATGTATTATCAGTAGATATTTATATTAAACGGATACGTGTATTGTTCCTGAACATCGGCAATCACGTTTTCCCTTGAAGCGCTAATTGTCTTCTGCACAAAGATGGCTGCCATTGGTACCGCCTCGCCTGGTACAATATGACTGCGCATACAAATTCGAATTTCCCCATCAAGGCGCGCCCATAGGCGGGCAATACATATATTCAGACACCGCGTGTATACGCTCGAGTGTCTATATACATATAAGCGGGCATTATGTACGTAACGTGAGCAACAATGGAATACTTGGATTCCTTGGTGGCAGCCTTCCACGCCCGCCGCCATTTTCCTCCATTGTCTTATGATTTATGTGCTCTGGTCGCCTCGGTGTCAACAGGGTATTGATTAAAATACATCCATACCTAACTCTAAACGCCCCCGCCCCATGTAACTACCCCGTCCACCGGAAGCCCCGTGAAAAATAACTAGGGAAAAAAAGCCAACCATGTTCCGTTGACAACGTCGCGTCTGGGGAATTATCCTCGTCATGCTCGACTTTTTCGACGAGTCGATTCCATCGATAAAGGAATACGTATATAGGCGATACACGAGGCAATTGAGTGGCCCCGAGAGGAACGCTAGGCTTGTTTCGACCATAGACAGAAAAGTTGTTGAGAAAGTTCCTCAAGTCGTCGATTAATATTGCAAATAAATAATTGTTAATTTTACGCTTATCTGGAGTCGTCATTTTGTCATCCTCGAGGCGGTTCGGAATTCTGATGGATCTATTATTTGAAGGGAGGGCCAGATTGTCTCGCCTTTCAATTTAGCCACCCCAGGATTCCCCTCGATTCTCGCGTCGGCGCGAGCGACTCGAACATAACCTCACCGACAGCCTCGCTCGGCTGTCGTTACGTCATTCCGCGACCTCGTTACGATTGTTACGGTTACAATTACAACTATCGCCATTAACGCCATTGCTTCAGACATTACACTCGATCAATTTCCCTAAGAGCCTCTAAAACGCCCTCCGTTATGGCTGGAATACGTTCACGATAATTCCCGTCGAACTTCCGCGTCAAATGGAACGATTTCTTGGATCGTCTCGTTTAAACTTGGCGTAGAAAAATCCACATTTACCCTCGCCCGACTACTTCCAGAGACCTTTCGCCGATTATTCCACGATTTCGCGATCATTACTTTCGAGTATCGAATCGCATTTACCCGAGTCTGGGAATCACCTGCGGGAATCCTGACAAATTGTGCATTTGAAATTGGCGCGCTACCGTTGCGCCCTGATTATATAAATGTCCTGGCCAAATCTCATCGCGAACGAAACCCGGGGCGGAGGACCGCAGAAATAATGGATTCCGTAGAAAAAGAGAAGTAAGGAAAAAAAGGGAAACTAGGGGAATTCCCCAAAAAACAGGACAACGCACTCGGCGCTCTCCATTATCGACGGAGCCGCTCGGTCTGATACCGTGCATTTTTTATCCCAGTTTTTGTCCCCTCCTCGAGGGCTCACCCCTTTTTACCAAGGCCCTTTCTTCCACTTTCGAAAGAGTTAATGCATTTCATTAATCATGCGGCCATCTTTCCCGCTCGGCGCCTCCCCGTTGATATTTTTCTCCTCGGCCCGCTCTCGTTATTATTTGTCATTGCTGCCAACTCTGCTCTTCGGCATTTTCCGCCAGCCAGAATCCTTTCTCTCCCCTCGCCCCTTTCTGCGGTAACGCGAATCAGGGCTATCGATTACTCGGTGAAAGCGTTATTTCATTACGAAATTACACTCTCGCCTTAGAGACAGCCGGCCAACCTGAGGTTAAGGTGATACGAAAGTGGCGTCAAAGATGTCTCGTTTGTGAAACTTTTCTCCGACCTGGATGTAGAAAATGCACGAAGTTTCGTCTTTATTAAATTTCTTTATAGACATTTTTTTAATGAAAATTGAAATCTCATGGGTGTCGGAAGCTTCCTTAGAGTCCCCATATTCACGTGGTAAAATTTGAAACGGTACATCCAATTCGGAGAGAGGTTTCACCTTTTCGTTTCCACTTACGTAATGGCCTTAAGAGTTAGAGGTTAGAAGTATGACTTAACCCGGCATTTTCTAAGTACCGCGGCAAGCAGATCCAGCAAGTTAAGTAAATTCGACGTTCTTTAAACGCTCTCCAAGTGCATACAATCGATGGATGCGAAAAATACGCGAATGAATGCAACCATTCGCTCGCGACGTCTATTTGGCGCGTTCGGTGGCAGAAGTGCCAACCTGAGAAACTCCTGAAACCGGAAGAGGGTCGGAAATTCTCCGTCCTGTGTGCCGACGCCATTTTGCGGAGACGTACACATTCGTATCCCTAATGTCACGGACTCAATGTGAGAAATAGAACGCGAACATATATGTCCATGTACAGGCGACAAACAGCGTCAGACTAGACACACAAACGCGAAGACTTCCGCACATAAGGACCGAGGAGGTTATGTTGCTAGATTACGTACTCTGCTACTTGCAAATATGAGCAATGCCGGGTCTAACATGTAATTAAAGTATTCGGCTTGTTACCCGACTCGAGGCGTACATACCACCAAAATACTCTTTTACGTATTCGTGGTAATATATACTTCCACATATACAATACCACTAAGGTGAAAACCTCCCTCAAATCAATCGATTCGAATAAAACACTTTTTTTTAAGGGTATTGGATCGAACCGTCCGATATTTTCTTGTTATGCTACAACGATGGTAATACGAAGTCTCGGCGTGAAAATGTAGTTGACACGGAAATCACAGATGGCGCAGGGGGTCCCTCTGCAGTCAATTAGGGCCTCAGAAATCATGAATCCAGAGGATTTCTCGACTTTTACTTCGATTTCATTCTAATTATTCTACGGGAACGACAGGTGGAGGATGCCATTTGGTACAATACCCAATATAATTTGACGCAGCTGTCGATATAAAAACGAACGTCGAGACCGTAGATATTTAGAAAAATCTTTTTCATCGACGTCGATCAAGCTCCTCGACGTGTGTCACTTCACCTTAATAAAGCAATGAATTAAATTTCTCTTGTATATTAAGCTCTTCCACCTCGTGATTTTTCACTTCCCGTATTTTTGGACCGCGGACAAACATCTCCGAGAAAGGCCTCAAAACTCTAGCCACGTGAATGTTAATATAAACGCATGACGTATGTAGAAATTGGCGGATTATATGCGTTTGGTGGAGTGGCAGGTATGGGGAAACCGACGTACATACCTGCTGTGCCGTCTACCGGAATATATATGGTACTTATGTACGCGCAGGAATATACAGACATGTATTTGTATAGTACCAATCATCGGGTTTCTGGTCTTTTTGCCTTTTCCAATGGGTGCGGCGGCTCGGAGGGGGAGAGTAATTTTTATACCCCAAGGTGGTGCTTTAAATTTTCAGGACGGTCGATTGGACTGCCAATGAGTTTTGAAATACTGCGCATAACCACATACTAGGGGAAATCACCTGCAAAGCGCACAAAAAATAAATGAACTCGATGTCCGGCAAAGGTTCCGCGTTTATATCGCGACTCGGAACCGCCGGATTTGCGGAATGAATTTATATCTGAGAATTATTTTTATGAAAAAAAGGCTGGCTGTGAAAAAGGACGATCGGTGAGAAATAACTTGAAAAGTGGAAAAGGGGAAAATGTGCTTATTCGAATTTTAGGATTATGGACGCTCCCCTGATGGTCTGATTAGGGGTGCCGAATAATCCCTTGAAATTGTTAGATGGAACAAAAGAGTCTTAAATCCACATCGGATTCAGAATCCGAGAATTAAATCTCCAGTTGTCACCTGAACGCCGCCAAATTAATGAGATCGTTGACACGTTAAGGGGGTGCTTAGACTAATCATAGAAGACGGGTTGAAGTTCGTCGGCGCCCGGAAGAAGTCAAAGTTAATTAGACACGTTTGGCTCGTATGGGTAATTGGTTACATTCTGGGAGCCCTGGCTCTTCCTGGGACACCTATCAGACACATTTGGCAATCGCTTTGGCTAACCAGCAGCGACGCCGCCCTGGTCTATCAGACCCGTCGAGTTAGCACCCACTTAAAGTGGTTTGCTCACTCTGTACAGGAATTAGGGCAGAACTTCGGAGCCCATTTATCAGAGCTAGAAATGGCGCATTCTACTGGGAATTTGCATGTGAATTCGGGGGTGGTAACCAGGCAAAAAACGAGAGGAAAATTATTCCAAACGGCAGGTGGAATCTCCCGGCTCTTAGGGACGCGTTCGTAAGAAGAGGAACCCCCGTGTACTTCCTTGGAGTCTGTCAGACGGTCTTATACTCTCGTTTACATAATGCACAGAGATGTGGGGCACCCTGAGATGTCTGATGACGGTCGTTAGCGAAAGGATTTTCAAAATGACATTACTGATAAAAACCCTCCCCCACTGAATCCCGCGTAGAATCGACTATACCCACGGGGTCGCTCTTGATGGACGTTCTTCTTTGGTTCCAGGTAACAGTACTCAAGTTCGACATTTATCCCTGAAAGCACTTCTTCCGGACACGACCGGATACATGACCTACGAGGGCAGCACCACGCACCCCGGATGCTGGGAAACCGCGGTCTGGGTGATTCTGAACAAGCCCATCTACATCACGGCGCAGGAGGTGGGTTCCCCGCCATCGTGTGCCCACCTCCGCCATTTTGGTCCCATCTTCGCCATTTTTTACCCCCGCGTCTTCCTCTCTCTCCTTCCTTCCTCCCTCGACAGTCGAGCGATCTGTTATTTCCCTTCGTCCCTCGCAGGGTGCGTCCCACTCCGCCATCTTTAAAGCCTCCGAAAAAAACCCCCGACGGGTATAAATGTTTTATTTACGCATCCGAGAAAATGCCGAGCGCTCATCTGTTCCTCTTGATGTTTAAGCTCTACGTCATGAGGAAGCTGCAGCAGGGAACGAAGGACGTCCCGAAAGCACCCCTAGGGAATAACACTAGGCCGCTCCAGGGCCTCCACCACCGGACCGTCAGGACGAACATCGATTTCCGCAAGGTAGGCCGCCCTGACTCTTGAGGCGATTGGGCCGAACCTGGTGTAGCATTGATGCAAATTTATTGAGTGCTTTTAATAAAACATGAGATTTATGTATAGAAATTATGGACAAATCCTTATAGCGATTTCTTCTTGATTTTTCAGCGACCGGACGCAAAGTGTCCGTCTATGGCGCACGACGTGCACTACAAAGGTAACACAAGAGCTTTTCCGAAATTCCCCCTAGAATTCACGCCTCGTCCAAATTCGGAGGCTTTTCGGTGAGAATCTGAAAAGATGACTTTTTCTTTCCAGCGAACACGTGGAGGGACGACGGATCCCTGTCGCACAACGTCGTGTGAGCTTTCCAAGATGGCGGCCGAGAGAAAATCGCACGTAATTTCCTTATTTTTCTTATCATTTTCTCTTCCAACCGAAGAAGTTCAAGGGATATCCTGTAAGACGAAAATGTGCGCCTCAGCTTTCCCTGGACGGAGTCGCCGGGAAATGTCCGCGACACTTCGATTCCAAGATGGCGGATGCAGAGTTCAAAATCCGACTTGGACGTTGCGTCGAATTAGCTCCAGGCGAATCAGTTGACACAATCGACAAGAAGCAGCTGTACCAAACGAAGAGATATATACAATAACTGAAATCAATAATCGACAGAGCTTTACATGTTTCGAAATGTATACAAGGTTGCGTCCGACTTACGCGAGAAGGAGCGGGAATTTTGAATTTTGAATCGCGACCGGCACGCCCTCCTGAGCTCGTGGCTCGTCCTCCAAACTCCAAAATACGTACTTAAGCTTGTCAAAACTCAACTCAGTTGATATTTTGAAATTTCCGAGATACGAGGCGAGGGTTCTTCGCGGCTGATACAGAACAAACAAATTGAACGAACTCCGAGGTCGGAATCCAAACGCGCAAATTTCAAAGAACGACCACCACAGATTTTTGTCAATTATTTTCTAGCCAAGACACATACGTAATGTCCCAGCGCGCGATTTTCGAAAAAAACAGGAAAATGTCTCACGAGCTTCGCACCCCTTCGGGGGGCCCGAAGAACTAGGGAATCCTGACTAGGGATTTATCGGGCGCGAGGCTAGTGACTTTTCGCGAGGAACTTCGCAACACCACGGGTGGACCTAGACCAAGCGACTACGTTTTGGAAAGACCTGTAGCTATAGCTATTGGATGAATAACCCAACGCTTTTGTATATACATATACGGCCAATAGTCGTGTAAACTTAGAGAGGAACATGTATAGAGACTAAAGGAATTATTATGTAACGAGAGGAGCAAAGATGGCGGCGTTGTATAAAGTAAGAGTGGCCGGGGCGAATAACGGCGATTGTGGTTAACGAATAATAATGATAATAACAACAATAAACACAACACGTTATATTCTATCAGATCTATCTTTCATTTTAGATATGACAGGTTAAAGTTTGAGTTTCTCCGAGAACATTAAGAAATGTCATTTTAATTAGTTCCTTTTAGTGATGTTCAATTTGGAATTTAAGAGTTTATAGAAATGGTGGACGGTAGAAAAGCTCAAGCTTTATCCCTGAGAAGAGGATCCCTTTCCTTGATTCCTAATTAGCGGATAGCAGCGTTTCCGAGGTAAGTGAAAAATTCCGCAATATTATTTCGTAACGAAAGAGATTTGACGGAGTTTTATTCGATGGAGTGCAACGAAGGATTTCCACGGATAGGAAAGATTTTTATCTTTCGCGTGGTATGCCAAAATGCTTCTCCGGTTTTTTCCGTTTAAAAGTCCGCCGTAATTTCGCAGCTTTAACGGAAAAGCTGAAACGGCGGTTACGTTCTGGGGAAAAAACAGCCCAATCATATTCCGAAATGTCAAAAGTTCCGGCAACTAAAAAAAGCGCGAAAAGCTGTCATACGGAGCTTTTTACTTCGAAATGTGTAACGCGATGTCGAAGCTTTAGCGGGGCTGACGTCCTGGATTTTGCCCGAAAATAAGTAGTACATACTTTTTTCATAGCCGCGGTAAAAATACCTCACTTTCCTCATTTGCATATAAAAAGCTCTTTGAAGCGTTCGTTTCAATATTGGTTAAATTTTTTCAAAGGTGTCGCAAACTAGAGTGACGCAATTACATCTCGATGAGTAAAAATACGAGCTTCTACGAGACCCGCGGCGTTGACGAAAAATCCATCCTCGCGAAAACAATTTTGAAAGAAAAAGAAAAAAGACAAAGAGGAAAGGTGCGACCAAAGAGTCTTATTTGGGATTTGTAAATTGCAGCGTCCTTTGACAGCTTCAATGATCGCGAGATACGTAAAAAACGCAGAAAAATCACGTTGCATAATTACAAAAAAAAGAGAAAATCGCCGAATGAGTAAGTAAAAAGCTTCCCGGAGATTTTTCATTCACAGGCAGTTGAATGAGACGTGGTCGGGGATAAACATCAAAGAAAAATTCCGTGAAAACCTTTACGAAATAATTATCCGGGTGTAACAAAACCACTCTCGTTGCATGTCCCAAAATTCCCGCCACAATTCGGAAGCATCATTGCGTATTTACGCGTCTAAAAAAAAAAACAGACGCGCAATGATATCGCGAAGCGCATATAGCTCCGGTAAATGAAAATTCGGAAAGACCCGGAGGAAAATTTTTACCGTTCAAAAAAATGTTCTGGAAAATACCGTCATTACTGTAATGTGTCCAAAACCCTGCAGCGAATTTATTTTTCGTTACCAAATCCGACAGACAAAGCCCGTGTCGAGAAACTCTTCAATTTTGTACATCAATGGCATTTCGAAAATAATTACGAGAGTATACAAATAAAATTCGCAAAATCGATGCAAGAGCAAGAACGCAATTTATCTGAAAGCTCATAAAGCTCAGCCAAAGGTTGGGCACGACCGACATGCCGAGTAATAAAAAGCGAATCAAATTTTCAGAAAAACGCTTCACAGGAGTTATCGTGCGCGATCTTCCTTTTTCGTAATAAACTTTTCATTTCCTGGGATCATCAAAAAACCGAAAAGCCCCCCAAGTAATTTCTTAAAAAGAGCAAAGTCATCCTAGGACATTCAATATAAATTCCGCAAAAACCAAATAGCCAATACCGGTGGAAAGTTTAGCGGATCCAACGTGAGCATCTAATGGAGCAACAGAGGCTTCAACAATGTCACAATCAGCCAAAAACATGTCTGCAAATTCTTCCCCTCGAAATCAAGTTTGAAAAAGCTTTCTTTTTTTTCACTATTAGTTCTTTAGACAAAAGCTTGTGAAGGCGTTTCCAGCCTTCTAACGTCGCTTGGATTTGATTGAGCAAGGAAAGCTTCTCAGTCAAGCATGTACGAAAAGCCTTCCGGAGCTTTTTATCCCGAAACCTGGTAACAACGCGGGGTCGTAGCTCCTAGGGATATCCCCAGCTTGAGTCGAGGGATTTCGCCTGATAATAAGCAGTAAAGCAATTTTTTATAAACATCGTAACCGTAAAAGACATAATGAAAAGCTTGCCGGTGGCGAGCTGTAAATTTCGTCGTTACGCACACGAGAGAGCCGAGGCCGTGTGAAGAGCTTACACGTGTGTGCTTACGTGTGCTTACGTACGGGAGAAGCATGTGCTGAGTAGCAGGGGGAGCAGAAGAGTGGGGGGCAGAGGTGGCGAAAGTGGGAGGAGGAAGGGGGCCGGAGATATGCTTACGAAGCTTAAAGCCCGAAGTTTAAAGCTTAAAGCTCGCCGCGGGATGAAGGACCGGAAGAATAGAAAGGAGGCGGGGAGAAGAAAGGGGGAAAAGGGTAAAAACGGACGGAAAGGGTGAAAAGGGGCGGAAAGAGCGCGAGTCGAAAGCCCCCCAGTGTCCTTAACTCGAGAGTCGGTTCTCGCACTCCTCTATGGAAATTAAGGAAGTGATTTCGAGGGGGTGGGTTTAGGGGTGCGAGCCCCCTCCTTCACCTTCACACCGTAAGCTCTCTTCGAGAACCCTTCGAGTCCCACTTCCGGCCCTTCATGGCGGCCATTTTTTAACCGATGAGGCCGCTATTTAGTGCTCGCCTCTTGGAGGGACTTCAAGTCTGGAACTTAGGGCCGAACTTAGGGGATGGACGTCCGATCTTCGTTCCACCGAATTTTTCTTCTTTTTTCCGAGATGCGGTATCTTCAAGTACCTTGATTACAAACGCAGGTAAATAATTCCGCGGTTGGCAATGAACACCCCATTAAAACTGATTTTTTCTTGGCGAAAGATACTCAAGCAGCTCTTTTAGGGACTTTTGGTCGGAAACGGGGATTTTGGATGATGAGCAAAACTAGGATCTTCCGCCGTTTCGAGTTCTCCTTTTGCTTTCGAAAATCCCACCCCCAAGTCGTCGGGAGAGCGAGATATTCGGCGGACTTAACGGGGGCGCAAGTTCGGGAAGTTGGCAGACCCGTTCGGATCGATTCGTCGTAAAGGGAGTTTTAATTTTCCCGAAGAGACGACGCGCGTTCCCGGAATCTCCGGGGGAGAGTTCGGAGGCGTTAAAACTTATCGTCACATCCTTTATACTCGGGGGCGGTGGGGCTGGAGATCAGAAACGGGGATGAACTTGGTGCGGAGCCGATCATGACTCCACAACGCGCCGAGGAATTATGGATACCATTATACGAGAAAGATTAGAGGTCCTCATAATATTTTTATTACCTCATCCCAGGGAACCCCGGGCAACCCCCGCATCCACCCCTTATTCGCGGGTGCTAAAACCACGGAAACTGCAACCCTGCTCCGCCGAACGGAAATGGGAGACCTCTAGACCTTACTTTTGGGTCGGCTTTTTCCGCCACCCTTAATAGCCTCATCCTGATGACCAAAGTGATTTCCTCCCCCTAGATCCATTGCAAATAAGAATTAATTAAAATACCACACCCCCTGAAAATTAAATTATACCATTATATCGTGAAAATTGAAACAATAAGCGTCGCGTATATGGAACAAGAAGTACCGAGAACGTTTTTATCAGTTGTCCGCGTAATCCACGGGGATCCTTATCCACCCTCGGCGCGAATAGAACCTCTTACAGGAGGGTGCTAAAACCTTGAAAATTGCAACCCACCCCTGTGTGCAAACGTAGGGACCTTTTCAGACTGCGGGGATGAAACGTTACGAGGGGGATTATTTTTTAAGGGGAGTTCTTAGTGCGTCGGTATTACCTGCCTGGACAATTAGTTTTTTACCAGAAGGTATGTTTGTACATAAGAAGCTCTCCAGAAAAGCGTTTGCTCGTTTTCCGCGGAAACCTCCGAAAGGGATCTTTTCCGGCCTTCCGAGGGGTTCGCGTCGTTCTTTCCCGGTTTCCCCTAGGAGATGGAAGGAGGAGTTCCCTAGGGAATTCGCGGCCTAGGGTTCGGCCACCGCGCCGCTCCCAGGCCGATTTAGGGATATTGCCTCACGGGTCTGGGGGAAACACTTCGCGGGGATCCGTCTGGTTACTTCCGGCGCCCTGCCCACGGGAAGTAGGCCCGTCATTTGTTTTCATTTTCCTCAGACAAGGGGGTTGGCAGCCCTCTACTTTGCACCTCCCCTCCGACCGCTGTAGACCTTTTCAGACCGCTGGGCCGGCAGCTGCAACTGCAGGCTGTCAGAAATTTAGATTCCTCGAAATATTAGAATATTATGGACCCCCTCACCCCACTTTTTTACCGAGTATTTCCTTACCCTTGCAAGTGAACGAAGAAGAGAGTCGAGCTTGGATTTTGTTTGTACTCTTTTTGCACCCCTTCAGGACATTCCGCTCTAACTCTCGCCGGGTATTTCGTAATTTTTCGTCCCCCACCCTTGAGGAGTTTGCTCAACCCCCTTTGGAAGGACCCCTAAAGGAAGTCCTGGTTCGCCGATGCAGATTCGAGGGGTCAAATAAAAGATTCAAACCCGATTCCAGCCCAGTATATGGTAAGTCGCAAACGGGCGGGGGTGGGGAAAATCGAAGGGCAGTTCCCAGCACGAGCTCGGAAAACCTTTCCGACCATTGTCAGACTTAAGCCGATTCCCTCGACACCGAGGATCCGGCCATGAATGAAAACGATTTGGGACCTCAATATTTTCGTACCGAATATCGAAAAGTCCACCCCCGGGGTGTCCTTGTACGGGAAATTTTCACTCTCCTTTTCCGACCCCGTCGAAATCTCTCACCTACTGCTACCCTGAGAAAAGAATTTCATTTAACCGAGGGAATATTTTCTTAATGCACGGAACAATTATTCGACTCGAATGAACTCGAATAAATCGGATGCAACATCTCTACGGAATTGTGACAATTTATGTGAGTTTTTTTTTTCAAGTCAAATAATTATTCTTTGAATTAATGAAATATTTCTTTGGTACCGTTCAATTAGATATTTCTTTTCCTCGGTGTACGCTACAGGAGGAAGATTCAAGAGTATAGACAAATTCAACAT